AATGGATAATTGAGAAGAAAGCCATTCCTCGGTCAACTTTTATTCTTATAAAGTAGACAGAGAAGTGAAGTCTGTCATTTCAACTGCAGGCAAAGATTTCATGCCACTACAATGTGCCTCCTTAACAAGGAACATACACCGTCCAGGGAAAAAAAAGGACGAATGGAAGAAGAATAAAGTAAGGTCTCGCATCCTGCGTTGGAGTCTCACTTGCTCTGAAGGGGTGTAAATCCAGTGGTCACAAGTTGACCGCCCTTGACTGGACAATCTCATTTAGCCATCCCTGTATTGGGACAATTGCATTTCAAACCTGATGGTGAAGAAACTTCTAAGCAGGGGGATCATCTTAGGTTGAATATTGAAAGAAACTTTTTATGAAGTCAACAGTGGGTGGAATTTCCCATGGTTGATTAGCAGCGATCAACCAAGCTTTTTGGGGAGGGATAAACTGACGCCACTCCTTACAGATTGATTTTATGTCATTTGGGGCGTATGATAGTTTGTTTACGTAGCTCTATTTGACCGTTATGTTGGGTTCTTATGGTATTTATGGAGATAAAGCTTGTGCTATAAACCACCATGGGCCTCCTCAACAGCAGTTGGAATAAATCTAATAATTGGGGTAAAGTACTATCTGGGCCTTTTCCTGTCTGTTTTAATCCAGGTCTCAGTTACTGAACTGAACAAGTGATTGGGCTAAATTGCCTTCAAAATCTCTTGCAGCAAATTCTTACTTCTCATCTAGGAAGGATCCAGATCTTATTTTTGAGAGGAAGGGGGCTATCACTCAAAGTAAAAAATGATGACTCTAGCAAGACTTTGTGGTCTATAATCCTTCCTTAAGATTACTGGAAGTGTCTGTCTGTACATGCAGGTGTTGTGTGTCGGTGTGCAAGGTAAACAACACAATGGGGCCCATTTAATGAACTCCACATGGGACTGTTCTTACTTTCCTAAATTCGGAAATTCCCCCCCTGCCTTTTCTGATTGGCCTAAGGTTGGGTTCACACCCACAGTTAAGCCACGGTTTCTTACAACAAAGCACTGCATCCTGGTTTATGCAATCTGACGTTTTCAGAGCCAAAGTAAGACGAACAAGAGCAGGTACATTAAGGCTAAGTGGAATGTGTGAATGCAAACTATTAAAGTTCTGCACTGACAGGAAGAAGAGGATTAAGTCCTTAAAAATCCCACCTCTTCCTTAAATAATTTCCTAGTCACCAGCCTGGATTGGCATCACTTCCCAAGGAATGCACCTCTCTCTCTCTCTCTTTTATACACCCAGAGAGAGTTCAAAGTCCACATGATTTAAATGAGCAAAAATGCAGCTGAGTCCACTGGATTGGAATGAATGAATGGAGGAGGGCTTTCTCTTTGGAATAATGCCAATTTTCTCCCTACACCCCCCCCTCCCCCAATCAAGGTGTTTTTTTTCTCCGTTCTTTCTAATCTTCACTTCCTTCTACAGCAGGGAGTCTGGCTCCCTGTACTAAAGTCCCTTCGTGTGTCTGTCTGTCTGTCTGTCTGTCTTTCTGTCTACCTATCTACCTACTTACCTATCTATTTATCTATCTATCTATCCATCCATCTATCTATAGCTCTATATCTATCTATCTATCTATCTATCTATCCATCCATCCATCCATCCATCCATCTATAGCTCTATATCTATCTATCTATCTATCTATCTATCTATCTATCTATCTATCTATCTATCCATCCATCCATCTAGCTATCTATAGCTCTATATCTATCTATCTATCCATCCATCCATCCATCCATCCATCCATCCATCCATCTATCTATAGCTCTATATCTATCTATCTATCTATCTATCTATCTATCTATCTATCTATCTATCTATCTATCTATCTATGTTTTCCTGAAAATAAGACCCAACTGGAAAATAAATCCCTGCATGAATTTTCAAAATGTGTTTGTGTGTGTGTGTGTGTGTGTGTGTGTATGTATACACACACACACACAATTATTATTCTGTTTTAGATTTTAATATATCTGATTATTCTTCTGCTTTAGATTTTGATTTGGGGCTGTCTTTTATTTTGACCCCCCCTCTTCAGGATAAGTAGACATTCCAGGAAATAACAAAAGCAAAGCCAGTCAATGTTACAAATCAGAAAGAAGTGACACAACTTATTTTTAAAAATGTATCCAACAAAGCCAAAACACTTTCTAGGAACCTGAGGGAAATTCAGCGAAACTTAATAGGTATCTTTCTAGGAAGTATTTAATCTTTGATACCAGAAGAAAATTCCACAGATATCAATGGGATTTATTCTCTGGGTTATAAAACCCACCTAAGTGGGCAACAATTAGGACTGGGATCAGTGACTTAATATGTCCCTATTCCCTACGACCAATTAGAGGGGCTTCATTCTCTACTCCAGTGTTTCTCTAGCCCCAAATTTAAGAAGCGGGGATTTCAACTCCCAGAATTCCTCAACCAGCAAGGAATTCTGGGAGTTGAAGTCCCCACGCCAAGGTTGATAAACACTGCTCTACCTACCCCGCCCCCCCAACCCCCAATTCTTTCCCCCCCAAATGCTATTTCCTTCCTGTCAAAACTAATCTGCATTTGGCACCTTGGTCAGAAAAGCTGCAACAGCCAACTATAGGAAACTCCTTTCAGCCTGAAGTTTTTCGGTTATGGATGGCATTTGTGTGTGTGTGTGTGTGTGTGTGTGTGTGTGTGTGTGTGCTTGCTTTGCTCAGAAAGCAGCTCAAAAGAGGGACCAGGAGGAAAAAACAGGCAGGAAAGTTTATTGCCGCTCCAGCAGAATTCCAGAAGTTATCTTAATATTTTGCTCACAAGAGAGAATGCATCGTGTGCTCTACAGCACCTGGGAGATCCCATCTGGTGTCTATATACTATATATTGTATAATATCTTATATATTAACTCTTATATACAGTTGGCATTTTGACCCGTGTCTGGCTGTGAAACCTATATAGGTAGTTCCTCTGCTTACAGCAGTTCATTTAATGACTGTTTGACTGTTACAGCATTCCCCATAGTCACGTGATCAAAATTCAGACCCTTGGCAATTGACTTGTATTTATGACGGTTGTAGAGTCCTGGGGGTGTGTGTCAAAACTCCCTTAAGGTCTCACTTAGCAATATAAATCTGGGGCTCAATTGTGGTCATAAGTCAAGGACTATCAGTCTCTGCAAAGCTGCAAAGAAGCCGCAAGTAATACCAGCCGATGTTGTTGTTTTTTTTTTTAAAAAAATCAGAATTTATGGAATACATTCTCTGCCGTAACAGCTCTCTCTAAACAAAGGCATAATAAGCAATAAATGCGCAGCAGGGTATGGCAGAGAACAGACAAATATTGCGGTTTTTTTTTTTTTTTTTTTTAAATAATAATAATCATAGGTTGGAAAGCAAATACAGAGAAAAGTTAAGAGGCAATCAAGCCGGAATGTGTAACTCTGAGCACATTCCAGTTTTTAAAATGCTCGAGGAATTTCTTTTAGGTTTTAGAACTTACTGTTAAAACACACACCCTTAAGCACACACACACACACACACACACACACACACACACACAGTTCTTATGAATGGGACACACACCATGTCGGTTAGGATTAAGAACAACAAAAAAAAGCCCAAAGCTGTATCCAGAGATTCACAGAGCTACCAACCTCTTAAAAAAAAAAAAAAGAGAGAGAGTATGTAGGAATTCTGGCTGTTACCCCAAAAACCTTGGGCTGGGAGGCAAGTTCTTTATAGGATTTTATATTTTAATCTGTATGTTCCCCCCCACCCCCCTTTGGATCGTACATTATTCGTTTCTTTGTTTTTATAGTTCTCACACTTCACAGTAACGGATGCCACCCAGAGTCTTTGCTGGAGTTGGGTGGCCCGCGAAATTCAACAAGTGAACACACATTGCAGGAAATCAAAAACACACCACGGAATATATCTTGGCCTGCTGTGTCAGCGTTCAGCTTTTATTTCAAAGGTTCTAGTCCTTATGATGATAACACAGGAGACGGGTGGGTAAAGTCTGGAATGGGCAGCCCAAGGGATTGGGCCTAGTTGCTAGGAATTCCTGATGGCCTAAGTATAATTTTAGGTGTCCCCCATGATTAATCAGAGTTCAGGTAGTCCTTGACTTCATTTAGCGACTGTTCAAAGTTACAACGGCGCTGAAAAATGTGACTTACGACCATTTTTTTCATACTTATCTTTTCTTTTATGTACACTGAGAGCATTTGCACCAAGACAAATTCCTTGTGTATCCAATCACACTTGGCCAATAAAGGATTCTATTCTATTCTATTCTATTCTATTCTATTCTATTCTATTCTATTCTATTCTATTCTATTCTGCATTCTATTCTATTCTGTTCTATTCTGCATTCTATTCTATTCTTTCATTCCTCTATTCTATTCTATTTCTATTCTATTTCTGTTCTGTTCTATTCTATTCTATTCTGCATTCTATTCTATTCTGCTCTATTCTATGCTATTCCATTCCATCCCATTCTTATTGTACCCTATGACTATCATTAAGTGTTGTACCTGATGATTCTTGACTCTTGACGGATGTCTCTTTTCTTTTATGGTCACTGAGAGCATTTGCACCAAGACAAATTCCTTGTGTGTCCAATCCCACTTGGCTAATAAAGAATTCTATGACTTCTAAAGGCTATCGCAGCATCCCCACCGTCACGTGAACAAAATCTGGACGTTCCTATTTACGACGGGTTGCAGTGTCCAGCAAAGTCAAAGGGGAAGCCAGGTTCACTTAGCAACCGTATCTCTAACTTTAACAGCTGCCTTGATTCACAATTAACAGGTGTGACAAGAAAGTCCGTAAAAATGGGGCCAAACTCCCTTCACGAACATCTCACTTAGCATTTGGGCCTCCGTTTTGATCGTTAAGTCGAGGACTCAATTCTGGTCCTTACGCTGAGGACTGTAAAACGATAAAAAAAGCCACCAAGGTTGCAGATGACGAGTCTGGGACTTACCTTCGACACAGTGTTCCACCTCTTCCAGGTTGCGCAAGGTAATCCTCATGAGGCTGGAGTTGAGCATCAGCTCATTCTTGTGAGCAGGCCACATGTAGTGCGGGGCGGGATTGACGAAGAAAATCCGTGTGTCCCCCGTCGAGACCTGGTTGTCGCAGATCAAGGGGTCCCCAAACCCCCCAATCATCACCTTGTTCCCGCCGTCCAAGAGGATCTCGTGAGTCACCACCTCTTTCCCCTTCAGGTATCTCCAAACCCTCACCTGGAGAGAGGAGGAGAAATGAAAGAAGGGGGCACGTCAGAAAGAACGCGAACGGAATTTTTCCTATCCAGAATTGTAACAGAAAAATACCAAAAAAAAAGGGGGTGATCGACTTAATAATACACGTGATCACCGCAGCACGGTTAGCTTTTGCTCAAAAGTGGAAAGGTAAAGAAATTCCAGATAACAGATAATCAGAGTTGGAAAGGACCTTGTAGGTCATCTAGTCCAACCCCCTGCCCAAGCGGGAGACCCTACACCACTTCTGACAAATGGCAGCCCAGTCTCTTCTTGAAAGCCTCCAGTGGCTTCACTCCAGTAACCTCCACTAGCCATGCCCAGTTCCTGTATGAAGATTCCTGTATGAAGATGAAGTATTCAAAAAAGATTTGGACTTGTGCTGAGATGGATAAATTAACCGCTGAAATGAAAGACAACGACGAAACAGAGTACTACAAAGCATGTGATAAATTCTATCAATGGTGGGAAAAAAGAAAGGATCTAGAATCAAAAGGTAGAAGAGTTGGCAGAACGGATGAGTAGGAATAGAAAATGATGTATAAATGTATATTAAACATGTACCGTATGCCATAATATGTATGACAAACAGGATTGGCAGGACAATCACACCGTGTCCAATGTTTTTAACAATTTATTCAATAATTGTTTTGAAAAAAAAAGAAAGAAAGATAGAAAGAACACTGTCAGAAAGAATTGAGACTCCCAGGGGCTTCAGGTGTTATGTGGTTGCTAACAATTGACAAAGGGTTGTTGCATTCTATGTTCTAATATTTTTCTTGCAGTCCTTACTGTGAATCCTGCCTTTTCCACAGACAGAAAGAAGAGAGAAAAAAAATCTCCAGACTGCAACTGGCCATACTTGGAATAGTTCTGCATGGCGGCTGAGCTCCTTGTGCAGAGAGGTAGACAAACACTTTTCGGTATCGAGAAGCAAATATTAGACATTCTTCAAATTTGACCTGATAGATACTTTTCTATCTAGGAAGACCACAGCTTATAATGGACTACAGAAGGAACCGATCAGACATCCAGCCCTGGCTTATCAAGAGAGACCGAGGGGAGCAAGGGGCCAGTTTTAAGTTTCTGGGTGTTCCCCTAAAAAGAGGACCTGACTGGGGTGCCCGCATTGCAGCCCTGGTCAAAAGGGCCCAGCAGAGATGATACTACCTGAGACTGAATGAAAAACTGCTGGTGACCTTCTACCACTGCACCATAGAGTTTATTTTAATATACTGCACACCTGTGTCTGGCTTGCCAATTTTACCGTGGTAGATAGGACAGCGCTCCAGAGGGTTTAACGTCATTGCCCAAAGGATGATGGGTTGTCCTCTCCCCTCTTTGGAAGAGCTTTATAGCACTCACTGCCTTAAGAAAGTTCAAAATATTCTCAAAGATCCATCTCTTCCTGGGCACCCTTTTTTTTGAACTATTACCACCTGGCAGACGGTACAGGATAATAATAAAAACAAGGACAAATAGGCTGAAAAACAGCTTCTATCCCAGGTCAGGAGCTCTGTTGAATTCTACTGTATATAGTGCAATATTAATGCAGTATTGTGCTTGTGTTTTTACTTTTATAGTTCTAATGCACATTGAAGATGGCATTTAATTCCGTTTGTACGAGGTGCGACGACAATAAAGTAAACTCTAACACAGATATCTCGAAGAACGGGAAGACAAAAGAAACGGCCGTGAGAAAGCCCAAGTTTAAAAAAAAGGCCATCAGACAACCAGAGTTAACAGGAACGACACCGGTTGAAAAAACTGTTCCAAGAAAGGGAGAAGGACTTGGCACCAACTGCCTACACTTTGCTCCAGATTCAAGTCACAGCAGGAGGAAGGGGGAGAACCCACAACCTAGAAGCACACAAATAGCCCCACCTAATTTCTTGGCAAAACAAGGGAAGATTAGGAATCAGAGAGGCCCAGGATGTGCATAGCTTGATGGAGAAAATGTCTGTAAGCAGATATTTGTGCCAAGGTTGGAGCCAGGCTGGGCTCTTCCCCACCTGTTTCGCTGAACTTATCTGGAAAGAGAAGTTTGTTTGTTTTTTCTCTCTCGGCTCTCTCCAAAATGCAAGTAAAAGAATGCCTGGACTTGTTGACCCATACCAATCTATAAAATGTGATTTTACTTAAAAATATTTACAAGTTTGAAAGACGGGGGCAAAGGCAAGTGGCTTTATAGATAAGAGTGATCTACAAACAGCAGAGGCTTTTTAGCTATCGGAACATTTTGCTAAAATATCAACTACTTTATTGTTATTTAAACACATATCACAACCACCAAACTATCCCCTTTTAACTGTGTCTTTTGCTCTTAAGGGAGGCATATTCCTCTGGGAATTTAAATTTTATTTATCAAACACACCATCTATCTTATTCAAACACACCCTTCCTTCCTTCCTTCCTTCCTTCCTTCCTTCCTTCCTTCCTCTATCCCTCCGTCCCTCCCCATTTGGTTTTCGTCAATCTACTTCATTCTACTACTCTTCATTTTGAGGATTCAAAACAGTAGATGCCACTGAGAACTTTATGAAGAGAATAAATGAACTTCAAAATAATGAACGAAGGCAGGAGGGAGACCAAACGAAAAACTCAGCTTTGCCAGGATCAGTCAAGATTTGCAGAGATTCATTTTTTAACCTGGCTGGGGAGGGAGGGAGGGAGGGAAGGAGGGAGGAAGGAAGGAAGGAAGGAAGGAAGGAAGGAAGGAAGGAAGGAAGGAATCACTAAGCAGCTAGCTCAGGAAAGTTAAAAGCACCTTCACCCAGAGACTGGGGTGATTAAGATAAGCTGTACAAATCTCCTTGAGAGATTCCTTTTAGAGGATTTAAAAAAATGAAAAAGTGGGAAGGAAGAATTCTAAGAGGATCAAGTCTGAGCAAAGGTGATACCAGCAACAGGAGATTTTGAAGACAGAGAAAAAGGGGAGGAAAAAACTCTTTTTTAAGAAGTAGCTGAAATTTACATTAAGAGGAAGAGCCAACCACTTCAGCGGAATTGCCCATTAAGAACCCCCGCAGGGTTAATTGGAGGGGGGGTCTCCCTTTAAAAAAGAAAAGAGTTTGGGGGGGCATCCTTTCTAAGATGGTTTCCTTGGCAGACTGCTAATGAAAGCCTGGGCACGTTTATTTGCATTATTGTTTCGTTTCACACTGTTATGGTGCCTGTATTGCTGGATGGGGTGCAGAACTACTCAGGGAAATTAAAACACCAGAAAAAAACCACCGTCTTGTAAGGCAACTTCAGACAGTTAAGGCATATAAACCATAGGATTCTCTCAGAGAGGCTGTTCAAACACAGCTTGTCAAGTAAGCCACCGCTGGGGGCGGGTGTTCATACAACATCCCCAGGCATCAAACTATGGTTTACGTACTGCGGCGGTGGTTGGATTTCTGCCATATTGGGGGTTGAAAAACCTTTGTAGCTGAAGATTCAATTAAAGCCTGAACGGAATTGAACTGAAGACTGATTGAAAAAAAAAAAGCAGAGATTGTAATAAGGTAAAGGTAAAAGGTTCCCCTTGCCCATCCATGCTAGTCGTTTCCGGCTCTAGCGGGCACTAACTCATCTCCGTCGCAAAGCCGAAGAAGAGCCAGCGCTGTCCAAAGACATCTACGTGGTCATGTGACCAGTAGGATTAAACCCCGAAGGCGCCACGGAACGCTGTTCCCTTCCCACCAAAGGGGTCCCTATTTTTCTACTTGCCTTTGTTTTGTTACATGCTTTCGAACTGCTAGGTTGGCAGAAGCTGGAACCAGTTAACGGGAGCTCGCTCCGTTCCGTGGCACTAGGGATTCGAACCGTTGAACTGCCAACCTTTCTGATCAACAAGCTCAGCCTCTTAGCCACTGAGCCTGCCGCATCCCTGCGGGATTGTAATACACCCTTGTAGACCTGACCTTGAAGAGTTGGATTGTTTGAAGTTGTGGTTTTATACGTTGTAAGCCGCCTTGGCGAATAGGCGGCAATACAAATCTAACAAATAAATAAAATAAATGGAAATAAACAAACTCCCGTTGGTGACTTTACCTTAAAATTATTGCAGAAATCTTGGAAGGTGTCTAACTAGTCAAAACAGGCTGACCTTTCCTTTTCATTAAATTTTGGGTTTTGGGGGGATGGGATGGTTGTTGTTTTTATTTAATTTCCTTTTTTTTAAAAACAAAATCAAGTGAGATATTGCTAGCCTGGCCAGACCAAGGCAAGGGTTGACTAGATCATCCTTGTGGGACCCCCTGCAACTAAACAATTCTAGGGAAATGGAGCAACTGTTGGGCACCACTTCCGATGGGCCGAGAATAAAAAGGGGCCAAGAATATTGTCCCGTTAATAGCACATGCCGCTCTTTTAGTTGGCTAGACCCCAAAACCTTGTGCGACTTAAAACGATACTTTCTCGGCCCATTTTTTAGCTTCTGAGTCAGAAGAGCAAATTTAGCTGAAAAGCAAAAAAGCACCATTTCCAGGACTTGTCCCACCAACCAAAGGAGAAATCTCTCAAATCTTAATCCTTTTGTTTTTTCCCCTCAATGGTTAATCAGTTGTCTGGGAAATGAGTGGCAGGAAGCAATCCATGGCTGTTTTAAGGTTTCTTCTCTAAGCTGCATTTTCTTATCTTGGGATCCTGTCATCTGTTATCTTGGGATCCTAGGGGAGAGGGGAACTGGGACTTAACACAGTGAAAATCAGTTTGAGGCATCCCACATATTTTAAGTTTCAGATCAGTCAGCCTAAAAGTTACAAGTCTGTCCTTTGAGCCAGCCCTGTGAGGTAGACTGAATTCTTAAGTTTAGTCACTTATGGCTGTTTTTCACACTTATGACCGTTGGATCACCATCACGTGATCCAAATTCAAACACACTTGGCAACTGGCTTGTATTTATGACAGTCACAAGGTTCCCTTTTGCAACCTTCGGACAAGCCAAATTAACAGGGAAGCTATATTTCCTTAGCAACCATGGTAATCACTTATGA